AGCTCTGTCCAACTGTCTTTGCCGAAACGCTGATCCGATTTACCAGATCACCAGCTGATGTACCTATACAGTTTGTGTTTTTCTAATCATCTTCAGAGATACAAATTAAAGAGCTGGGAGATCGGGTTAATCAAATCAGCGTTTTCATAAAAGCCTTATTCACCTGTCCATAAAAGTGTTTTTACTACATAGTTTTATTTTTGGTTGATTTTACAGAAAAAAAAAGTTTCTATTGGTTTATAGTCTATAAGCCAGTACACTACAATAATAAATAAAGCAAGAAACAAAGCTTACTAGTGATTTGTCTAATTTAGCTATAAATAAAAATTAAAAAAAACAATATTTCCATAAGTTGTCGAAAGTTTCCAATATTCCCAGTAAGTTTCCGAGAATGTTCGCGGCTTTTGAATGTTTCGGGAATGTTACATCACTAGACATAGATGAGGTTTTCAAGTATAAAAGCTGAGGGAAAAGTGAGAATGTTCAGTTCTGAGTTTGCCATCCTGCAGTCCTCACGTTACCCGCCCAAACCTGCCAGTATTCTTATTGCTTTTCTTTGTAGTGCAAAAACTCTCCTTGCAAAGCTAGCTTTATACCCCATGTTATTATACTGTAGTGTAGGTCATGATGGTGGAGTGGAAAAGCGCATAGTAGGCTGTTTTTAGGGTGCGAGACAGAGCCTGCTAGGTTTCTCAAGAGAAAAACGCTCTTTCTCAGCCTCTTGCATACTACTTCAGCCAGAACATCCTATTCCAATTATTATTATATTTTTTTTATTAGATTTCTTCGAATCTAATAAAAAAATATAAAGATACATTGTGTAGCCCTCTCAGGCATATAACTAATCTCATTTTCAGTACTGGTGTTTTTCCCGATATTCTAAAAACAATTAGGCAATTCAATCCATCTGTCAAAAAGGAAAATTCAATGTGGTGTGGCGGCCAAGCAAGTTTGTTTTCAATATGTTTTTATGCGTATTTCAAATTGTTTTGCATACAGTTTTGCTTACAACTTTGATTTTCATTATTTAATAAAATATTTGTTGACTAGGTACCTAAACTATTAATTCGGGCAGAAACTAGATATTTTTTTGTGTTTTTTGGCCCATGTGTGGCCGCCACGCCATCTTGAATGTCACGTGGTTTGAATTGCCTAATTGTAATTATTCCATTATATAAGCGGGGGAATAAAAAATCACCATCGAATTACAGACCGATAGAATTGACTAGCACCATTAGCAGGAAAAGTGTCTTAAGAAAAAACTATTGACTTTTTTAGAGCAATACAATTTACTTCATAAAAACCAATTTGCCTTTACAGAGAACCTAAGTACTGAAAATGCACTTGTGAGGGTTTCAGAGGGAATTTTAAAAAACTTGGAGCAGGGTAACAAAGTAATAGCAATCTTCTTAGACCTAAAAAAGGCTTTTAACACTATTTCACACCAAATTCTCCTAAATCGGTATCAGTATGGGAATTTGAGGTATTCCAAATGAATTGATTAAATCCTATTTGAGTGGTAGGACACAAAGCACAAAGATTGGAGATCAGCAGAGTGATAAACTTCAAATGGAGTCTGGTGTGCCGCAGGGAACTGTTCTCTCACTTCTTCTTTTTAATATTCATATAAATGGATTAATGGAATTATTGGGGGAGGATATTGTCTTTTGCTTTGCCGATGACACTGCTATTGTCCTAAATGGAGCTAGCTCAGAAATTGTAAAAGAAAGAGCAGAGTCAGCACCACAAAAAATAAAGGGATGGTTGGATGATAGTCTTCACTCTTCTGTCATTAAACATAGAAAAAACTAAATTTATGACCTTCTCTCTTCCTACGCATATATTCCGTGATTTCCAACAACTTAAAATGCATGATACACAGTGCGTTTTTGAACTGCAATGCACCTGCAACAAATTTATTGTTAGAACACCTTTATTATTGTACTTAGGGGTGATTCTGGATGAAAATTTAAATTGGAAGGGATATGTACAGTGGAAATCATTGCAATTGGCACACACTATATAAATATCCCTCGTAATGTGTCAAATCTGACACACAGTAATAGCAAAATGCTGCACTAAATATATTTATTGGTTAGAATTTTGACTTAATACGAGGGATTTTAAAGAGTGTGTGCCAATTGCAATGATTCCGACTGTACAGTCGATTTTAATCTGATACTCCAAAGGAATGTGAGCTGGTGGCTTCCTACATTAGAAAGACAATGGTCACCTGACTTCACACCTGTTTTTGCCATAAGCTTCACCTCCTCACTCCTAATAATCGTCAAACGCCGGTATGCTGGTGGAATGGTCGTCAGCTACGAATAGGTAGTTGTTGCGATATTTAAAATGAAGTTGTAGTATCCATTCTGAAACTGATTGCGGTGATGTGTGACTTATATGACATGAAAATAATCGTCAGATGGCCTGGAAGTTCCAACGCACTAGAGTGGGGCGTCTTTTGCGGTCCAACTGACGGATTCCCCTCGCTTTCATGCCGTCTGATGATTATATTCATATTATCTATATAAACTACTATCAACTGAATTACATAATTTTAGGCTGGATACTTTGACTTTAATAAGACTTATTGAATCAAAAATAGCAAAAGGAATTGGAAACAACCATAAACAGCTATTCACTCATTGTCAAAATATGTATATCTGTCAAAGCGCAGTTGAATATCAATTTTGGTAAGACAAGGGTTCAGAACAGGAAAACCTCTCTGCAGTATATATCGCCTCCTATCACAACTGAAAAAGAGAATATATTTCATCTGATTATTAAGCAAGAGACGATGTTTCGGAGCGAATCATTCCCTCATTAATTACAAATCACCCAAAACCAACAAACCAAGCTTCTGGATATCAAACCCATGCCACAGCACTGTGGTATTCCAGGTATTCTTTCAATCGGAATAAACTGCACAAATTGATTGCAGTCATCAATCACTAGGTTTGTTTATGCAGCGACTACAATACGTTGGGAGGTGTAATGAAATGGACCGAAAATTGGAAGGTGATAAATGTGCGCCACCTTCATAACGAGGAGAAACACTGCAGATTCAAGGGTTGCAGGAATATGCCTGTGCATCATTAGTGATTCATAGCAAAAGATTAAAGTTCCCAGCGCACAATACTGCAGCCCCAAGCCCCAGCCATCCCAGGAGTTACCTACCAAAAATAGCATCATCATCTTGAGATTTTTGTCCCTTGATGGCAAATAAGATTGTCCTTATCTTGTGGATATCTATTGGCGGAGAGTTTTGATTTTTAAACTCCTGGATATCTTTTCTTACCTCTTATGGAAGAGTGGGAATGGAAAAAAGGAATTCTTACAAGACACAATGGTCCTATATTGAAGTGAATCAGTAACTGGAATTAGTGTAGCTGTTAACATTTCAGCCTTGATGCAGAATAGTTCGCTATATCCGAGGAAGCTTTCATTCTTCACTGTCAAGACAGTGTGCATTATGCCACTCCTTTGCTAACTTAATCAATCTCCTAGTTGATCAAATGTAAAAAACCCATATTTGCTTAAGGGGTACAAGGCCTTTGGTATTTTTAGTTTTGATGTTAAATTAATAAAACAATTTTTTAGTAAATCCTAGGTTACAAGAAAAGCAGTCATTTATGTGACCAATACCCACTTTGTACTAACAAAACACTATTTCCAAGATATTGGATGGTATGAATAAAAACGAAGTATTTGCTACTACTACAAGTATAAGTAGATTCTCCGTCGTATTTACTATAAAACGAAGTAGATACTAGATTTCGAAACTACCGGAAATTAGTAAATCCTTCTTTTTGAAGTAAATACTTCGTAGAATATACTACTACTTGTAGTAGTAGCAAGTACTTCGTTTTTATTCATACCACCCAGTGTATAAAAATGTGTAGCAAATACCTAAATGGAAAGACCAGAATTTCCACTCATAGGATACCTAATAGCTTTGCTAATAGTAATAACTTGCTGACAAGTTTTGCAGATAGTGCATAGTAAAGAAGACTGCATTAAATAGTACACTCTCACAGAAGAGCTCTATTTATAAACAAGCGCGACTGTTTTAAACATCAGAAGTTCAAAAACTTAATATCTTGCTTGATTTCTTGTATAAATGATGATATGGGTAAATATAATAATTATTGTTGCTGTTATTAGAATTTGTCTTGAACATCACTGCCAATTTTGTTAAACAAAATTGCATATTTCCTTCACTAGAATTTGAAAACTGACATGTATGTAACACGAATTAGCTTATCCTTTGCCATAACCAAATATATCATTCTCATACTGGAATTTTGCCAATCTGTCAGTTTTCTGCTGTGGTTGAATTCATGAATCATTTTTTTTTTGGTTAGGCAAAAAAGAATTGCATAAAATGGCTTATGGTTTAGGTATTACACAAGTACTAATTTACGAGTTTTATTTTCAATTTTTATAGTAAAACATGTCAGCAAATAAATTAAATGTATTATTAGTGAATAAATAATTTTTTAACAATTTATTTTGTTTGCAAAGTTTCATTGTAGTCTTCTCAAAGACAGTTAATTCTTCACGAAAAGATTGCAAAACTCTATGTGATCATGAAATTGATTAGGTATTGCCTGAAATTATTGCAAGCATGTTGGTCACAAAATCCTTCAATCTCGCCATAAATAAACCCAAAATGTGTTCTATTTACTCATATAGGAAATGCTAAAATTTGACTTCGTATTTTCTTGGCGCAAGTTCTTGTGTAGAGTTAATTTTATCATGGAATAAGATTAAAACAACTTGCTATAAAAGAAGCTACGCAGCTTGTGTTTATTAGAATATTTTACAGACTGTTCAATTTAGTTTCTATTGAATTACTTAGACTATTCCCGTAAAAAGAAAACTTGTTGCAACAGCAACATGATATTTTCCTCGATATTTTATGTCTATGATTAATTGACTGTTAAATGCGAAATGTTAATATTATTGATTAATAGATTTTTTCCTTTGTATTTTAGGAAGTTGCAGTTAAACTCGAATCTATCAGAGCAAGACATCCACAGCTTCTCTATGAAAGCAAGTTATATAGAATACTTCATGGAGGCATAGGAATTCCACATATCAGGTAAGTTTCTAGGCACGCACGTAAAAGGAAAAGTCTTGTGCAAAAACATCAGTAAAAGCAATGTCATATTTTAATTAATAATAATATTGCATGGGTAATTAATTTCAAGTCATTGGACATTGTTTTATGAAGGCAATAATTTAGTGCACTGCTAAAAAAACACTTAATTTTTTTGGAATATCTGTAATTTAGGTATTTCTAAAACAATAAAAAAAAAAAAAGATTTTATGTTTCAGTAAATTTATAATTCTTATCCTCTATTTAATGACCGACATTTTATTAAGTAAGTAGGGCAATTTATAATTACAATATTTAAAAGCGAAACGCTGAAAGTTAAAATTATCTTCAAGTGGGTAACTTGCGGTATAATTACAAATTTTACTACTGTTATTGATTTGTGTTACAAGTTACAATCGATTTTATTTTAATTCTTGTTCCTAAGAATGTTTAAATAATTATCATTTGCGTGCAGAAAGGTGTGATAAGAACTCGGATAAAAACTACTCTCAATAATAATAATTATGCACTTAGAATCAATTACTTGTAGTGAAAATAAAATTAACATAATGAGGGTATTTCTTTGTAGAAAAAGCTTTCTAGGCTGTAGTTAATGACATACGGGCAAGTGCCAATTTCCCCACGGCCTAAAAAAAGCTATTTGCGAAAAAATTGATAGAAAATCTAGCAGAAAACTCATGACATGCTAATCAACTTCCGTCTTCCAATCAATTGATAAAACCATGTTTTTGAAAAAAATATTTTCATTGATTGTCCTTGTAATAAAAGGGAAACGTAATTATTGCTACGCGATCCATCCATCACTAGAATAGATCTTATATGTTCCTCTATAACCTTGAAAACGTGAACAACACAATTTTCCAGAAACTTGCTAACTGCGAAATTGGAGTGTGTGATTTTCCAGCTATATTGAAAAACGTTTTATGAGATTGGCAATCGGCCCAACATTGTACAATTTAGGTTTATGATAAGTTTCTGCAAAAACAACTATAAAATTATGGAATAACCGAGGGAATAACATTTTATAAATAATCATGCGAACACTTCACTTTAGAATGAGGCTGGCCATGGCCACGAAGATCAAATTTCGACTTCCTTCGAAAACTGCACAAAATAATGTTTAAACAAGAATTAGTGATACAAACTTGATGTTATTTCTAAAAATATATAAAACAGTAAATGGACTCGAGTGCAAAATTGTTTGCCAAATTTTATAATGACAAATGTTACACATGGAACCTTACCAAATCACCACAATTAGCAATAAACCACTCATATTGTTAAAACAATAATTGCAAAAATAAAACTCTTGCTAGTTACTTTCCCATTTGTCTTGCTAGAATAATCATTTTAAAAGTTCAAAAATAAATCAAGAGCGTTAAATGTGACCATGGATTTCAAAGTTACTGTGCTAGGCTAATAGATCTCTACACAGTTTGACGTGTTTTGAAACGCTTTTTCTAATTCCCATTGTTTTTTATAAGGTCGACAATTTTTTTCAAGTTGAATTAAACGTTTCCCTTACCTGTTTAGTTGAAAACATTCAAACGTTTTTCGATGAAGTCAATAACATACGTCCATGCGTTTATAATTATTTCCATTGACCGTGGTGGGAAATTGTAAATATTATTATTGAATTTGTGTTTGTCTTATCGACCAATTACCTCAACAAAAACGTTTTTCCTATATGCCACTTTCAAGTCCTGATCATAATCTTATTAACACTTGCATTTGATTGAAAAATAATGTTAAATTTGACACAATTTGTGTCTATTAAAATATGACCTCGTTAAAATTATATTAGCGGAACAGAGTTATCTGGGATATTCTTTATTTTATAGGTGCCTAATTTGTCTGCGTATACTTCTGCCACCTATAGGTTAAAAAAAAAGTTGTAAACATTTTTAAAATTGTCAAATATGTGTGTATTGATTTCAATTTTCTGATGTTTAGTTGCACGCATTCCAAAATATTCTACATTTTCAAGGAATTTGGTGAAGCCTTAATAATTCAGCAAATTATGTTGGAAAAAAAATTGAGCCCAGGTCTTCAATTTTTGTATGTTTTCACTAAATATTGGTCTTAAATTAACTGATATAAATATCTGTAATGGGTGACAGGCTAGAAAAAAGTTTAAACTATCGAAGTTGAAGTATTTTTTCTAGATCAATTCAAAATAATTAGAAAATCATGTTAAATCTCAGTATTTGACTGTAAGTAGTGTGTGCTTTTTTAAATGGAACATTCTGTTGTATTATTTATTTATTTATTTATATCCTACTGAACTATTAAAACCATATAATACCTTCGTTACGATAATCATAAACAGGGTCTTAACTCCCAAGGGAGTTAAGGATTTTCATAACTCCCAAGGGAGTTAAGGAAGGGAGTTAAGGATATCATAACTCCCAAGGGAGTTAAGGATTTCCAGAACTCCCGCTTTTACCTTGAATAGGTAACACTTTGACAAAAAATAGAAATTTTGATTTATGGCTTATTCCTTTATAAAAATAGACAGAATACAGTAAATTCAGTAGGATATAAAATTATCTATGTACCACGGGAATTATCAGGAGTTAATACCCACGGGCAATTGGTGTTGCAAACGTTGCCCTGGGGTATTAACACCTGCATAATTCCCTTGATACATAAATAACTATTATCAAGTGCATATTTATGAGTCAGTTTTTTTACAAAGGCTATGGTCCGAATATAACCAGGTTCATGGTTTTGTAATCCGAAAGTAATTAAATTACTCTGGTTCCTGGAAAAGTGGCTACTTTTGGACCACGGTTTCCTGAAATCTGGTTAACCAAATGTCAAAATAGTTACCAGCCATCGTATGTCGGTTCGATTTTTATCTGTCGTTTCTGGCAATTATTTTTTAGTTCATACAGAAAAAAATTAATGGTTATTTTTGTAAACGGCAACCAACCGAAGCTCGCGTTCCCTAAGTAACCTGAATTTTCAGTAACCGCTTGTCAACCGATTCGGTTACTTTGGTTAACGTTTGGTTATATTCGGACCATTGCCAAAGAAAAATATACTGTCATGGCTCTGGGGAGCGTGACAGAAATCTTGGGTTCGTTTATTCCAAAATCAAAGTTCAATTAACACAACAATTATTTATTCCACGTTATTACACACTTTGACAAAAATTAACTACTTCACTAATTAACTCAAACAACTTAACTCTTTACAACTCCTACAAAATTCACTATCTAAATCGTATCACAATCAATCTTAAACTTAAAAATGACTAACCAATACCGGCCTTTACATATACAGTGTGTCCACTTAAGTTCGCAGCATATGGGAAAGTTTTTTATTATCAGTTTTACGAAAAAAGTTATTCTTTATAAAAGTTTCTGCTTCTTGAAAAAATAATAATAAACTACTAAAACTTGAAATAGCATGTACAGGGTGGTCAAAAAATGGAAAAATATACAGGGGGTTTGCTAAGTATGGTTCGTAACTTCAGGATGTGATTCCTTACAATATTTTAAGAAAAAAAGTTCCCATAAACATGTGTCCGGAAATGCGTAGTTTCTGAGGTACAGGGTGTCAATGTTTTAGAAAAAATCGTTTTTTCATCTCAAATTTGGCAGGTTTGTTTGTGATAACGAAAGGTATTTTTTGACTATAATATGACTTGCTTAATCTGAAAAAAATATTAAAGGTTTTTTTAAAAAATAGTGATGTGCCATTTGTTTCTACTTTTACCAAAAAACCCTGTTTATTTTTCTATTTTCTGACCACCGTGTACATGCTATCTGAAGTTTTAATAGTTTTATTACTATTTTTTCAAGAAGCAGAAACTTTTATAAAGAATAACTTTTTTTCGTAAAATTGATAATAAAAAAGTTTCCCATATGCTGCGAACTTAAGTGAACACACTGTATATCCTTATCTATTCTTGCAAAATCCAGAATAAACCTTTTTTCCCAAGAGCAACGTAAAATCTAGAATCGGGTGGCCCAAATTCGAGCCTCATCATTGGGATCTCAGAAACTGTAAGAGATACAAGGTCGGTTAAATTATAGCCAAGTTGCGCATTTTGATACTTAACAAAATGCCGCTTGATATTTAGGATATTCCGAATACTCCCGGAGATATCCAGAAAAAACCGAAATTTTGCAAAATGGTTTTTATTTTTTCCTGACTTTATTTGAAGTGATACTTCAAAAAAAATATCACTTCATTTCTCTCCTACAAGATGCTATCATCAAATTTGAAATCTGACGTTTCGTCTTTGGGCCACCATCATCAACTTTATCATCTAAAAAACCAAGCAAGTTTTCCATGTGAGACCTCGCAAAACTAGACGCATCAGTCGCTCAAACATAGCTGGAGCATTACACAATCCGAAAGGCATTACGTTAAACTGGTATAACCCGCTTCCGGTACAGAAGGCAGTTTTCTTTTTGTCATCTTTGTGTATTGCCACTTGCTAGTACCCACTTTTTAGATCCAAGGTGAAAAACCATATGGAGCTTGATAGAGTTGTTAATGTATCGTCTATCTTGGGAGAGGGAAGTTGCCCTTCTTGGTGACGTCATTAAGCTTTCGGTAGTCCACACAAAATCTAAGACTTCCATCATTCTTCCATTCAACTAATCAACTTCCCCACTAGGATAAAAAATCAGCAAGTATCCCTACTTTACCTTATGATCGTCAATGATCATAAAAACATTTTTGATTTCCAAGAGTATGCACCCTTGGGCCGCAGCGACCATGTAGTAATAACAGCCAGGGCTCAATTGCAACTCCCAGTTAAACCAACCCACCAGGTCTACAAACGCGATTTCTGGCGTGCTGACTACGAAGAAATAAATACCTTTCTGCAGCATCAACTAGCCAAAGAACCATTAAACTACAACAACCTAGAAGCTGCCCGCCATAGACCACTTCATCCCCCTAAAGCCTAAAAAACAAATACTCAGAAGCCCTGGTTAAATAAAGGGGTGTTCAGGGAAATCAAG